AAAAAAAAAAAGAAAAGGAATAGCTCTTAATATAGGCAGTATTGACAGTCAAGTATGTCTGTGTTGGTTCACTTAGTTTAAACATTATTGCATATAATTGTAGGGGAAAAAATAATTTAGTTTATGATCTCTTTAGACAGCTCTCTTAGCAATTAATTAATTTTTTGAGACAGAGTTTTACTATGTTACCCTCGGTAGAGTGCCATGGCGTCACAGCTCACAGCAACCTCAAACTTTTGGGCTTTAGCAATTCTCTTGCCTCAGCCTCCTAAGTAGCTGGGAGTACAGGTGCCTGGCACAATGCCCAGCTATTTTTTTTTTTTTCTGGCCGGGCTGGGTTTCAACCCACCACCTCCGGCATATTGGGCCGGCGCCTTACTCTTTTGAGTCACAGGCACCGCCCCATGCCCGGCTATTTTTTTGTTGCAGTTGTCATTGTGTAGCTGGCCTGGGCCAGGTTTGAACTCACCAGCCTCGATGTATGTGGCTGGTGCTGTAACCTCTGTGCTACAGGCGCCAAGCTTCTCTTAGCAATTTAGAATGTTAAGTTCTGTGACTATGAGGGAAGATCTTTGGCATAAGAAAGGCAATTTGAACTGAAGAATCTGGAAAGTGGTTTAGGTTACTCTTTGCTGCCTTTATGGATAGAGACAACCTAGCCTTCCAAAATACTAATGATACATAATCAATTTATAAGTTGGCTGACTAAACATTTTCTTTTTTCTGCATTGCCTTCTGAGTTAATTCCTGGTATTTGGAATTAATTAATAGATAAGACCAGTTTGGCCAACTGTTTAGTCACTATTGGTAGCTGTTTAACAGAGATTAACAATCATTCAGGGTGGCGTCTGTGCTCAGTGAGTAGGGCACTGGCCCCATATACCAAAGGTGGCAGGTTCAAACCCAGCCCTGGCCAAACTGCAACAAAAAGATAGCTGGGCATTGTGGCAGGCACCTGTAGTCCCGGCTACTTGGGAGGCTGAGGCAAGGGACTCGCTAGCTAAGCCCAGGAGTTGGAGGTTGCTGTGAGCTGTGTGACGCCATGGCACTCTGCCAAGGGCAATAAAGTGAGACTCTGTCAGTTCCCCATGACAGCAGTTTACATTCCCCTGATGTTACTGTTGTGGCTGTATTCAGGGCATAATTAAAAACCAGTATGAATGGTTTTTGTTTCATTACAGAGATAAAACCTTTTATATAAATGCCCCCAAAGCTTTTATGTATTATTTATTTATGGAAATGCATAGAGATAGGCCTGTAATCCTAGCACTCTGGGAGGTTGAGGCAGGAGGATCCCTCGAGCTTAGAAGTTTGAGACCAGCTTAAGTAAGAGCGAGAGCTTTTTCTCTACTAAAAACAGAAAAAGTGGCTGGGTGTTGTGGTAGTGGCCTATAGTCCCAGCTACATGGGAGGCTGAGGCAGGAGGATTGTTTGAGCTCAGGAGTTTGAGGTTGCTTTGAGCTAGGCTCATGGCACTCTAGCCTGGGCATTAGAGTGAGACTTCAAAAAAAAAAAAAAAAAAAGGAAAAAGAAATGCATAGATCTGAAGCATTTAGTACAGTAAGTTTTTACAATTGTATGTATCTATGTAATCACTTCCTAAAACAAAAAACTAGACACTCCTGTCCCTCAGGTAGCTTCCTAATGCTTCTTTCTAGTTAACTTCTCCCAGCACACAACTGCTGTTCTGATTCCTGTTACTATATAAACTAGTTTGGCCATCCTGCAGGTTCATATAAGTAGAATGAACATTATGTAGTCTTTTGTTCTGGCTTCTTTTGCTCAAAATAATATTTTTTCAGTTTGCCTAAAGATAGTGCTTAATGAATCATAGCTGTTTTGCCATATTTTTCTTTTGCTTCATAGTCTTTTTTCTCAAGAATTTTAAAGTAAATTATAGACATCATGGTGTTTCCCCCCCAAACATTGAGTATGTGTATCTAAAAATGACATGTCTCAAAATAACAGTGCTATTATTATGCCTAAGAAATTACTAATCATTTCTTAATATTGAGAGAACATACTTTGTAGTAATAGCTGACCTGTTCTCAAGATTATATTATATATTTTGGTATTTCATAGGAACAGAAAAAAGCAGCATCAGAAAAGAAGGCAGTGATGCCCGCTTCTACAAAAGGACAAGAGGAAGGTGCTCAGAGAACGAAAGAAACGGCTTCTGTCCCCTCTGAATCCAGCGAGTCCCAGAGGAGACTTCCAGTTGGTGCTTACGTTTCTTCTGTGCGTGTTGATTATGATTCTTTCAAAGTCGGCACAGGACAGGTAAGTTTATATATTGACTAGGGCTTCATCTTTTATTTTGGAATCATAGATCTTTTTTTTTGGGACAGAGCCTCAAGCTGTCCCCCCTGGGTAGAGTGCTGTGTCATCACAGCTCACAGCAACCTCCAACTCCTGGGCTCAAGCAAGTCTCCTGCCTCCGCCTCCCAAGTAGCTGGGACCACAGGCGCCCGCCACAACGCCCGACTATTTTTTGGTTGCAGCTGTCATTGTTGTTTGGCGGCTGGGCTGGATTCGAACCTGCCACCTTGGGTGTACGTGGCTGGTGCCTTAGCCACTTGAGCCACAGGCACCAAGCCAGAATCATACATCTTTATCATTTAGGTTGGCTTTAAATTCTTGAAATATTTATTTAACATTTGGGGCTCTGTGGAGAAAACTGGTTTTTCTCTTAGTAAAAATAGTATGGTTTTTCAATGATACTCAGAGTAAGGGATTAAACATGTACAGAACATGTCATCTAACTTTCAAAATTGTGTTTATTTCAGTTTCTCCATCACTCATAGCATTAATCTTCACAGCACTAACAACAAAAGTGGCTATAGCTAGAAAATTATGTTCAGAATATACTTAAATTTTTGTGAGAGAAACTTACTGTATTCACTCAAATTGATAATGCTACATTTTATAATATTCTTTAAGGCTCGGTAACCATAGCTCAGTGATTAGGGCGCTGGACACATACTGCTGAGGCCGGTGGGGTCAAACCCAGCCCGGGCCTGCTAAACAATAATGACAACTACAACATCAACAACAACAAAAAATAGCCAGGCATTGTGGAGGGCTCCTGTAGTCTCAGCTACTTGGGAGGCTGAGGCAAGAGAATCACTTAAGCCCAAGAGTTTGAGGTTGCTGTGAGCTGTGATGCCACGGCACTCTACCGAGGGCAACGTAGTGAGACTCTGTCTTAAAAACAAAAATTCTTTAATGTACTTGTATCTGAATGGCTTGGAAATATTAAAATTCTTTTAGACAGTGTTACTTGCAGTATATTTACAGTTGTATATGTAAGGATCCATTGCTTTAAGTGAGTTCATGAAGGCATTAAATGGGACTGGATGTTTGATATATCTCGTTTAAGCTCAAATCATGTTTAAAGTTTGCATTTTTGTTGTATTTATTTATTTATTTTTGGAGACAGAGTCTCAAGCTGTCACTGGGTAGAGTGCTGTGGCATTACAGCTCACAGCAACCTCAAACTCTTAGGCTTAAGCGATTCTCTTGCCTAAGCCTCCCAAGTAGCTTGGACTACAGGTGCCTGCCACAATGCCTG